CGTAAGCAAGGGTGGAGCCGCTAAAGGTCCAGTGGAGTCCACTGCCTCCACTGAACTTTGAGGAGAAAATTTTACTGCGGGTGTATATATATGTATATATATGCATATAGAGAGAGGGAGGAATAATAATTGGTAATTAAAGATTTGGGATGGGATTTCTTGTTGTTGATTGTCTTGGTAGTGGAGGGTTTAAAGTGGGGATAGTAGATTTTACTTAACTTCTATTTTGTTACAATCTTTCTTAAAATTTTATTTTTCTTAACAACTAGGCAAAGTCTCAATTTCTACAAAATTTAAGCTAGTTATCAAACTGAATTAAATAATTAATTAATTATTTTGTCATGTAGTTTGATCTCAGTTCAATTTTTGATTGTTTGACCCTTTATCTCTTCTAAGTCAATATCGAAGTTGAGTTAAAAAACGTTGTTACTTGTTGCTTTTGGCGCCTCTTGTTTTAATTCTTAAACAATGACCGTCTATAGAGTTATCCCATCTTCAAATAAAAGTTGGTATTCTGAATTTTTGTAAAGATTTTTTTTCTTCTGAAATTTGTTATTTTCTCTTTTGTTTGCCTCCCCAATCCATTAAATTAACACCAATATTTTTTTTTTATCTCTCTCTCTCTTTCTCAATATATACCCGAATATTGTTGCTTCAAATATGAGAAAATTTCTTCAAATTCTGTCTCCACCTCTACTAGAATAGCAAAATCTCTGTTAGATGAGTTTCGACTCCATCCCCTCTCATTTCGTGGCTTAGCTCCTGCTTGTAAGTTTTGTAGGTAATACTTGTTAAAAAAACTTATTTTGCTTAGTCACTCTCTGACCTCAATGCGGTTTTCTACCTGCAGCAGAGAGATTAGTAATAGTCGTCTCTTACTGGCTTGAAGTATTTTGTATGCTGTAGTTTTTTTGCAAGCCGCCCCTTTATTCTGTGTTCTGTCTAATTGGTTTAATTTTAGTTGATAAATGGGAAGAAAAAGCTGAGAAAAACTAGAAACCTGAGGAAATTTCCCATTATCATTCAAAATCTAGGAATGCAGGGCATTTCCTTATTTGTCTGTTGTGGCACTTTACTTGCTGCTTCTTAGTTGAAGGGATAATGCATGCATGCATGCAGGGTGGAGCCAGAAAAACACTTTGGGTTAGGTTGATAATTGAAAGATTTTCAATGAACTCATGCTATAGGAGATACTTTACACCACACGAAATCTAGTTTACAAGGCTAAGCTCATAACAATCATGATAGTGGTCAAATACTCAAGCAAGTAGAAATCTAGATTTAAACCATAGGATGTCCAAGTAGATTTTCGTAGATTTCCTTGCCAAATAGGAAATTGATGCTCTTCAAATTGGTGGAAGAATGATAGGCATGAGCAAATGATATATACCCACCAATCAAAAACTAAGAAAATATTTAATCAATACTTTTATTAGACACAAGTTAAAAGAACTTTGACAACTAGTCATTTCAGACAGTTAAAAATTTGGCCAAACACAATAAAAAATACATGATTGTACATCACTGTCCTCAAAATACCGTTTGATGTTAGTATCAGTATTTTTTACCTACACATATCACCTGAAGTGGCAAAATCATCCAGAATATTGAGGGTCTAAAGCAATTGGATTTATTTAACATCCTTGTTTGGTTCACTTCAATAATATACTTATAATTAAATTAATTTATAAATAAATAAGTTTTTAACTAGTATTTTTCTTACCGTCAAAATTAAATAGGAGTGAACATGATTCTATTTGGTTTTGGTTCCAATAGAACCGAATCATGAACCAATGATTTTTTTTTCAAAATATGGAACTAAACCGAAACCAAAACCAAATCGGAATTGAACCATTCGATTCTAGTTTTAGGCCTGGTTCCATTACTTAAATTTTCAAATGATAAATACAAATTAAAATCTATCATCATATTCATAAGTTAATAATACATACCTAACTTAAAAAAATAAATATCAAACATTCAACAAATGTAATAGTAGCTGTGGTGTAGTAGTGCAAGTGTGTGTAAAATTGAAAAGGAGATAAATGAATTAAAATTTAGATATAGGGCTTGCTGCTTTACTGATAGGTGATAAGGTAAAATGTAATAGTAAATGACATTTTTATTCATTTCGCACTTGTAATTTATAACGTTGGATTTTTTGGAGTTATTCACTGATTTGTTAAAAGAAAAAAAATAATAAAAATTGAGTTCGGTTCTTGGTTCTATAACTAGAACTAGATACAAATGGTTCTATGTTTTAAGAATCAAAATTATTATTATTATTTTTTTTAGTGAAGTAAAACCGAATCGTTAGGTTAGGTTAGGTTAGGTTCGGTTTGGTTCTGTTCTGGTTTGTTTTGGTTATTTTGTCCACCCTTAAAATTAAATATACAGCAAGTGACTTATTTTTATAATACCATTTATTGCATGTTAAAAATAAGTTTTTTTATCTCACAAGTATGAATGAGCTTGGCCGAACTTTTAACATCTCTTACTATTAAGCTTGGCCGAACACAAATTTAATTACTTTTAAGCTTGGCCGAACTTTTAACATCTCTTACTATTAAAATGAGTTATTTATTTTTAGCTTTAATCAATAAGAATTCTTTATTATAGATTTTATTTATTTAATTATTAGTTAACCTTTTAAACTTAGTCAAACATGCATGAAATAAATTGTCTAATTTGGTAACGAGCTATTCCAGTTGCATAAATGTGAAATATGTAATTATTTAGAGTCTTCAACTTAATTTGGGCAATTTGACGAGGCTGGGACTGAGGTTGGCTGCGCTAAAATTATTTTTTGGACTTAATGTAAGCATAATTTGTTTTAACAATCCACTATACATATGCGCCAACGCAGGCCCGGGTGCCTCCCCTTACATCGGCCCCTGCATGCATGCATATAAAGAGATGGTGATCTTAGGAAAAAAGTTGGTGTTGCTAAAGAGAGTCGTACATACAGCCATGTCCTTCCTCCAAGTGGAGAGAAGGCAAAATATGGTGGTAATTTGGCAGCCACTGTTGCATCCAATCATGGGAAAGAAATGTATCAACTGTCCCATTAGATAAAATAGGCGAGCTCTATTGAGAATTAGAACCTGTTATTGTGATCCAGCAGTAACAAAGCTGAAGCCTTTTAGTTACCATTTTAGTCAGAAACAGATTGAGCACATAAAGTTATATTTGTTTTTTCAATGCGAGGAAGGAGAAAAGGCTAGAACTTGTATTAAAGATGACAGAAGAGTAAAATTTGGTCTCCTGTGTCTAATTTGATTGGGCTAAGGGATCTCTAGTTCCCAAGCTTTATGCAGTTTTGGGGCTGGGAAAACTTTTGCTGATAGTATGGTAGCAATTCGAGAACATGCACTGAGACGAATTTCCTGTTTCCTTATTTTTTCACCAACCTTACTATATTCTTCCACAAGAAGCAATTAATGCCAAGTGGGATTCTGTTGGCTTGTGGCAGGGAGACTCGGCAATGGTGAGACACGTGATTGAGACTTGTGTTTATTGCGACTTAGGAATTCTTTTCCCCGTCTTAGATCTTTACCCTAATTATTTGGGAAGTTTGGAGTCAGTGATGTAGATTTAGGTTTTTTTTTGCTTCATATAGTATACAATTGCTGAGATCCATTGGCTCTGTGTATGTGCATGTGGATATATATGGAGGGGACATGCCCTTGCCCTGTAATTATGCTGTAACAAAGAAGAAATAAACTCTCAGACAGGGAAGAAGGTTGCCTGCCACTGCTTTCTGGATTTACCCCTTTGTTTACTTTCTACCACTTAAGTTAGTTGGTAATACTTGCAAAAAAACTTATTTTGCTGAATCATTCTGTGCCCCTATGGTTAATACTGTTTTCTGTGGCAGAGAGATTGGCCATAGTTGGTCTTACTGTCTTTTAAGTTTTCTGTGTGCTTTAGTTTGTCTACATGTTGCCCTTTAACACCTTCCCCCTTAACCTGTCTGATTTTTCTGCAACTTCTAATTGCAGATGACGATGAAGATTAAATGTTAGAGGCAACATGTTGAAGCACATTTGCTTTGGGATTCACTTGTCAAACAATGTAATGTCAGCGCAAAATCTTGTCCTGGGTTATAAACTATTGCTTGCCTTATCCTTTTTCCTCTTTTACAAGGTACTAGCACTTCCCTTTCTGTCTGATTTTACTGCTCATGGAGCGATATTTGTTAATGACTCATTTGAGGTGTATTTTACAATAAAATCCCATTGCTGCAAAACTTATTTTGAGGAATACAAACTTGCATAACACAGTTTCCTCTTCTAGTGTTGCTCTGCAATGCTCATTATTTCCACTGCTTCATTAGCACATAATAATGCTTGCTTATTTTACAGTTGAATGATTTGTATTAACAATCTTAGCTTTTAACCTTCCATAGATAGATTACCTGTATGAACTCCAGTGATGTACAGAAGAAACCTGAGTTGACAAATAATTGCCTGAACTGTAAAGTTAGCGACTACATACCATCACCTCCAACAATAATTAAATTTCCCCAGAATGCCAGACCAAACTTGTGGGAGGTAGTGGAGATTAAAATCTTCACTTATTTGTACTTCGGCAGTGAGAAGGAATCAATAAAAACCAAGTTATAGGTAGGTAAACACCAACATATTACTGGTCGAACTTCTGAAAGAGATTTTTTTCAAATCATGAACTAAATGCATATAGATGATCTGGGCTCATTTTCTCAGACTGAACCATCTTATCGTCAAGTACATGTGTAAGGAGATTACAAACGTGCTGTGATGATGGTCTTTCTGCCGGTGCAGTTTTTGTGCACTGCAAGGCTACTTCTAACACTTGGAATGCAGCAGTTTCTTCATTGGGTAAGAGTGGTTTCAGCAGAGGATCAATTAGCTTCTCATGTTCAGATCCTTGCATTTCCACTCATAACTCGACCCATCTAACTGTGTCCATATCTACACCGAAGCTCCCACCTGTTGGCATTCTTCCACTTAGCAGCTCCATCAGTACAATACCCATGATGTAAACATCACTCTTTTCTGTCGCCTTTTAGGAATAAGCATACCCTGGAAATGCGAAAATCGTGATGTTATAAACTGTAAATCAACACTTATTGTTCGGCTAAATGAAAGAGTGAATTTAAATTACTAACTGATAATTTAGAGAGGGAAATAGATCTCGCACCTGGAGCAATGTAGCCATAAGAACCTGCAAACCACAAATTAGATTCGGTATCTAGGGAGTCATAGTAGTCCGTGAGAGATTTTGCCAGCCCAAAAACTCCCAAGTGTGCCTCCATGTTTGCTTCTACAAGCAGATTGCTAGCTTTAACATCTCTGTGAATGATCTTGGGCACACCTATGATTCTTGGACCCGGGTACGGGTACGAGTACGTATCTAAGTGTTGAATTTTTTATTTTCTAAAATGTAGGATACGAGTACGTGGGTGCACCTTTCAAACTTCAATTTTTTTACTCGCTCAAAATGTCATTTTGAATAAACCAAAATCAATTGTTCACATAGAAGGAAATAAGTATTGAATAAGATGTTAAGACGAATAAAATTGAATTTTGGGTTTAGTTTTCTATTATGGGAAGTTAATTACTAAATGTTTATTGCAATTTGAAATTAGTGGAGTATGAAATCTTTTTTCATTTTATACAAACAAAACCCTAAACTACCGATACAGAGAGGGAAATAAGGAAAATAAAAAAAAAAGGGAAAGAAAAAAGAAAGAATAAAAAGAAGGGAAAACCTAGTGCCATCGCCTTGGTCCACCCTCTTGGCGGCGGTGCTAGGTTTATAGAGAGCAGAAATGGGAAAGAAGAAAAGGGAGAGAGAAGGAAAAGAAAAAAAAAGCAAAAATAGCAAAGTGTCCGGTTGAAACTTGTAGGATCCGACACATATTCAATACCCATACCCATACCTATGTCATGTCGTGTCCGAGACAGGCACTCCAGCCATTTCGAAGAGTCCGAGTATCAAAGGGGCACACAATCATGGTGAAGATAATCCAGCCCCTTTGCTAATCCCACTACTATCTTCAATCTTACTTCCCAGTCTAGGCTCTTCTTCTTATAACTCATTGTTTGCTTATGCAACCAATCCCACGAACTTCCATTCTCCATGTACTCGTAGATCAACAAATTGGAGCCTGCTTCTCTGTTGCTACAATACCCCAACAATTTCACGAGATGCCTATGCCTTGTCCTCCCAAGAGTTCTAATTTCCCTTGCTAAGCTTCTGTCCAACAACAGATCATCCTTCCTAGGTATTCTCTTGATTGCCACTGTCTCTCCAGGTGAATAACTCAACTTTATAGACAGTTCCTGAACCTACAGCTCCAATTATGAACTCATCCCTTAGAGGGTGGGAACGATTATGTAAATTCCCACTCAGAGACAGGACCAGAAGCTTCGAACAATTGAATAATTCACGAGGAAGATAACCAGAAAATTGATTGGAGGAGAGCTTGAGCTCGCCCAATAGAGGAAGACTCCCAATCCAAAATGGAATCGGCCCAAAAAGAAGGCTGTTGTCGAGATCAAGATGAGTCAATTTCTTGCACAGGGAAAGCTGGAATGGCATCTCTCCAGTAAGTGCTACCTGAGAGATCTAATAGAGACAGTTCTTTGATTAAACCCAGTGTCCAAGGGATTTTGCCCGTAAATTGGTTATTTCCCAGCCTCAATCTTTCCAGCAAAGGTGATTTCCAATCTGATTAATAATTTCTTGATCAAATGCATTTTTTGTAACATCAAAAGACAGAAAAGAACGCTAACTGTAGAGTGGAGCAATGCTACCATTGAGTCAGTTATGCAAAAGATTGACCCTCGTCAGATTTGCAACATTGATAAGCTCATCAGGCAGATTACCTTCAAGAGAGTTATTGTATAGCATTAGCAGCTCCAGAACTCTAAGGCTTCCAAAAGTCGCAGGAATGCTGCCTGACGATCGATCGTCCACCAAATCAAGAATGGTTAGTTGATGGCAGCTGCCCAGACTGGCAGGAATCTCTCCAGTCTCTGGTAAGATCGTTCTTTCTGAGGTGAGTGAAATTCAGCTGCTTTTCAGCCTTCCAATAGTAATGGGAATCTGCCCTGTAAATTGATTACCAAAGAAATCAATCATTTGCAAATTGGAGCTGTAATCAATCTCTACTGGGATCTCTCCAGATAGTTCATTGTCATAGAGAAATAGTATATGAAGATTTCCAAGCATCCTAATCTCTTTAGGTAGATTGCCCTGTACGTTGTTTTTGTACAGTACCGGTGTCTGCAGATTGGTTAGGTTTGCTAC